ATCGTTCGCTTCTTCTTCTTGTTGCGTGCAAACAGACGTACCAGAGGCACAGCTCACGCCCGAGGGGCACGTAGAACATGGGCGTCGCGCCGAGCGCTAGTACATTCATATCCCATCACACGACGAGGACAAGGGTCGTCGTCCTACCGCGGACTTCAATGCCAGGATGCACTTGCTCCCAGTTGCCAGCGTAGCACGACATGCGCGAGAGCACGAGGATGCCGTGCGGATGAAAGCCAAAGATGTACTACATCATCTTGCATGAGGATGGCTCACAGTCAGCAGATTCTCCTACCTGCTTGGTCGCATCGAGTTCTTGTTCACGGACAATTTCAAGGCTAATCGATCGCCCGATGCGTTCATGACACAATGGATGGATGGACAAGTGACGTACCCAACGTATTCGCACATGAGCTTCCAGAGCCAGTGCGTGCGGAGACCATCCCACTGCATGCCGCCGGTCGCCGGCGTGAGCTTGCGATGTGCGCCGTTCAGATACGACGGCAGGTAGAGTGCGACGACGGCGGCGCTCACATAGCCATAGCCAATCTAATTCGACGCAACATGTGTCCCGTGTCCTATCGGCAATGGTCGTCGTACGGCGTAGAGGTAGTAGAGGAACGCGACTGCGACCCAAAACCACAAGAGGTAGTGGATCGAGACAAAGGCCACCGAGAGCTGCAAAAAGGTGCTACACAACATGGATGGATAGATTGTCAGTCGAACCAAGGACATTAGTGTAGTATGTCGTACCGAATCGCCTCGGGAAAGTGCGGGAGCACGCGCTCGGTCGGGAAGCGCACGACGGTCGCCATCGGCAAGTTGCAAAATGACACACGTCTTTTGGGCTGCGTATCCGGACGAACCAGCGCCACCTGCTGCTTTGGCTAATCGCACGCCACCAACACCGAGTTGACGCGACGCCCAGAGCGAGTGATCCGAGAAACGCCCTTGTCGTTGGCCACACCTCACGTGTAGCTAGTCCACGTCGAGGACGCCACGCGGCGGGAACCTGGCGCTCATGGCCTGTTTTTGGCCCAGATTCTGTTTCGTTGACATGCACTGTTTGGTAATCCTGGTGGGTTTCGCATCAGAAAGGCCACGTCGAGGCTCGTCGCACGCCACTCCCTTGGTTCGCCTCGAGCTGACAGACGAAGCCGATGGAAGAAGCCGCGAGGCCGTCGATTGCGCGTCAGGACGATTCGAGGATGCTGCTGTACGTGGCACAGCGGTGCAGTACTTGGTAAAAGACGACCGCTATTGTCACCGGGCCACAGACCACGAGTGTCGTCTGCATCCATGCACATAATGTCCACCATGTTTCCACCGCCTTGAGCTGGCGGTGGCGTCGAGGAGCGCAGCACGTACAAGCTGGGGCCGACGTGGCGAGATGGTTTCTCGTCTCCGCCGCAGCGGCAGAAACGTGCAATCGGCTTGCTGCCAGCGCGTACATCTAGTCTACTGTCATCAACTGTTTGTCTACTGTGCACGAGTCGTCCTCGTCGTAGGCCTTTGCCACCATGTCAATCATCCGATCCTGCGTTTTCGACACCTTGGAGGTGTATTCGCACGATGCGTATTACTGCTTCGCCCACAACGTCTTTTGATTGGCCACTTTGCGGCAAATGTACTTGTTTATGTGAATTACTGCGTTGCCTCTACGGCGATTATCCGGTTTCTCGGTGCAACCTGGGCATGCAACATCCTCGCGACCACGCGACCGACGCGGTACAGGACCCTTCTACCTACCTTCGTCTCTCATGACGAGCAGTCGCATGCGGCCATGCGAGGCGCCGGCCTCGTCGAAGCCCGAGACGTGCCCGAGGTTCGACCGTACAATGCCTGCCTGTCCGCCTCCATGCGAGTCCAATGCTAGGCGATGCGCCCGACGTCGCTCGTGGCTGCTGCTCGATCCGGCAACGGTGACCTTGTTGCACGACTCTTACGCGCTGGCGCGGCCACCGAGACCGTTGACGACACGGTGCGCACGCCCGCAATCCATCGCCTCGGACAGAACGAACGACGGTGTAGGGCGTGACCCCGCTGCTGGCGGCGACCAAGCGCGGTCATCGCAGCATCGTTCGCCTCTTGCTCGAGCATGGCGCCAACGTCACCGCAGCGTCGTCGGTCAGCCATCGGCCATCCACGTCATCTACCATGACACGCTATTGTAGCTGGTCGCAGCCGCCTCACGCGGCGATGTTCCGATCTGCACGCTCTTGCTCAACCACGGCGCCGACGTCAACGCAGGGACAGAACAGGTGCTTTGATAAGAATGTCCTCGCGCGCTTATGTGAGGCTAGACGGCACTGCACATGGCCGTGCGCTTGGGGCATGTCGCGCTGGCACAGCTACTGCTCGACTACAACGCGCATGTGGACGCTCGACGACCGACGACGCCTCTCTTGCTCGCCGTGGAGCGCCACCACGTGCAGATGATCAAGCTCCTCCTTCGCTACGGCGCCAACCCGACGCTTGTCTCGGAGGTGTTTTTTTTTTGAAAAAATCTCTGAAGCAAGATGTATCGGTGTAGGCGGTGTCGCCGCTGCAAATGGCCCTTCAGAGAGGCTACATTGGCCTCGCGATGCTATTGCGGCACTTGGCGCCGCTGCATTTTTCGGTGCGGACCACGCGCATGGGCCTCATCGAGCGCCTCTTGTACCGCGATGGGGCCGCGCCAGATCGGGACGACGACGACGTGCACGTCTCCTTTGCAGACCGGAGCGACACGACTGCCATCTTGTTTACGGCCGTGCACTGCAACAACGTGGCGTTTGCGCGCCGTCTCTTGTCCCGCGGTGTCGACCCTAACGTCGCCTCGACGGTACTCCTACTGCTCGTTCGCCTCAGGGTCCATGGATGTGGACGTGTGCGATGTGCTCGATCGAGACTTATACTTGACGTAGGCTGGGTTTACCCCGCTTTTGCTGGCCGTGGCCCGCAATTTGCTCGAGATGACAAAGGAGCTTTTGGAGGCGAACGCCGATACAGAGCTGCCCAACCACGTAGACTCACCCTTTGATGCATGGAGAGGCATGCAGTGTGGAATGCTAGGCCGGCGTCGTGCCGCTCTGGGCCGCTTATAACAACAACGACTTGGCCATGACGCGCTTGCTACTCGAGTACGACGCGGATCCGAACGCGTCGTTCATGGTACGACGCAAGTCGTGGGCGCGATGTCGTTGAATGGACTTTTTAGGGCGGCTCGCTCTTCATTTTGGCGGCCAAGCAGCGCCGGCTACCGTATTTGGAGCTCCTTCTGTCGTCCCAGCGCGTCGACGTCGATCAAATCGATAGCGTACGTCGCCTGCTATCGTTTGAACAATGGCGATGGAGGTGGTAGAACGGCCGCACCGGGTTCGAGTATGCGTGTGTGTATGGCGACCTCGACTGCGTCAAATTGCTCGTGCGGCACGGTGTTCACAACTCGGCGGCGGTGCGAGACCGGCAAACGACAGCATTTCTTCAATGCGCTTTTGTTGCTAGGAAGGCAAGACGCTGCTCATGTTTGCGGCCAAGTACGGCTCGGTGCCGATCGTCCGCTACCTCCTCCCACTCTCCGATGTCAACGCCGTTTCCAAAGTACTGCATCGTTTGGAGGATACGATGTCGTGTCTCAAACAATGCTATAGAATGGATACTCGGCCGTCGCTGTCGCTGCCTACTACGGCCACTTGGAGGTCGTGCGCCTTCTTGTCGCCCACGGAGCACTCCTCGACCCGACCGACAAGGTGTCGATTTGATTGGCGACGTCGTCTCAACCGCGCGTAGGACGCTGTGTTTCCGCTGCGCATCGCGGCCCAAGAAGGCCACGCCCGCGTCGTCGAGTACCTCGTGCCTCGCTTACATGACGTCGACCGACGCAACTGCGTACGACTCTGCAATTTCCGCATGCGATTCTGAGAGCCATCTAGTTTGGCGACACGGCCCTGTACATGGCGACACAAAACCAGCACGTCGACGTCGTGCGGTGCCTCTGCAAGAAAGCCAACGTCAACTTGGCCATGGAGGTACGACTAGACACTCTCTGGTTCAAAAGAACAACACGACTAGGACGGCTCGACGAGTCTCTGGCGAGCGTGCTTGGATGGCAGCACCGAGATTGTGGACCTCTTGGTGCAGCGCGGCGCCGACATCAACATGGCCTCCTTTGTACGCCGATGGCGCAGAAGACAAGGTGGGCATATTGAACGATAGGACGGGAATCGACCGCTCGTGACCGCGGCCGAGAAGGGCCATTTGGACGTTCTCCGTCGTCTTCTCGAAGATCGCAACCGCGTCGACATCGATGCGACCAACCAAGTACGTTCGACCTCTTGACCAGTTGTCGGAGCGTCGACGGCGTGTAGGAAGGCAAGACGGCACTGTACCAAGCGAGTTGTTTCGGCCATGTGGAGATTTGCCGCGCGCTCTTGAAGGCGCACGCGACCGTCACCGTGGCCACGACGGTCCGACACTCAACCCGATTCTTTTTTGAATTTGAGTTTATGTGTAGAAGGGCGTGACTCCGATTGTGATTGCGATTGTCGTCCAGAACGCCGACGTTGTTGAGCTCTTGCTGCCCCACGTGCATATCAACGAGCCACTTCTTGTACGCTCCTTGTCGTTGATGTGGCGTTGAGTTGAGACCAGGGTTCAACGCTCTTGCACATGGCGATCCAGCGACGCAGCGTACGCATCGTCGAGGTCCTCGTTGCCCACGGCGCCGACCTCGACGCACTCGACAAAGTGATTACATGACCAAACTCAAACCATTCTCAAAAGATCCATAGGATGGCCGATCACCGCTCGTCTTGGCGGCCCACCTCGGGTCAGCCGAGATCCTCCACCAGCTGGCCCCCGCTGTGAGCGACATTGACGCCGTGTTTCAGGTAGCTCGAGCGATGCTGAAGGCATCATATTCACGCTGCGTAGGACGGCTACACGGCGCTGAGTGTCGCGGTCGAGCAAGGACACCTTGGCGCCGTGGAGGCGCTTGTCCAGCACGGCGCGAGCCTCTCTGTCGTGACCGAGGTGCTCGTCCTCATCCACAAAACAATACTACCATTACCCACTAGATTGGATTGACGCTGCTGCATCTGGCAAGTTTTTCGGGCTGGCGAGATGTCGCCGCGTTCCTCTTGGCGCGTGGCGCCAGTGCGTTAGCCACGGATACGGTGCGTCTTTCCATCGAGTTGGAGACTCAAGAAAACGTACAATATGTCCGTAGATTGGAGGACGTAGTATCACGTATGCAGTCACTAATGGTCACGCCGATGTCGTCGCGCTCTTGTTGCCGCACGCGCCCGTCAACGCTGTGGTGCTCATGACCCTACCCCTAGATAGCACCTCATCAACCCCACTAGGAAGCATCGACCCGTCCTGT